GATGAAAAGGACTGTACTTAAATTAAGCCTCATGTCTTTTTGAACTCAGTTGTTTAAAGGGTTATTCCAACTTTTTGAAGTGGTCATAGTGGTAGGAGTCTGGAAATGTAGTGTTTTAGCTTGTAATGCTGCACATCCAGCGATATTGGCAACTGTGTGCCAATGGGTAGTTGCACCTCCAGCTTCTCTGAGAAGCCTTTGATTGAGTCTTGACGTGGCTACCGAGATGTCAGCTTTGCCCAGAATAGGATTAAGGGGAGTAATAACTTTGTTTCAAATGCTCTTTGACTGTGTTTTTTTTTTTTTTTGAGAAATCCTTTACAGTTGCACTATAGCTCATTGTAGATGTTATGGCGCTATGGTTTGGGTGCAAAACCTTTGTTTTTTGTCACATTGTTTTTGGCAAAATAATTTCACCAAAGAATGTTAAGTATAACTCTGCATTATTAAAATAAATAAAAATGGGGTGAATATTCATTCGGTCTGTCAGACCACATTATAATATCTAGGAATGGCCAAATACTTAAAATCCTTCCCTGAGACTGCAAATCCACAAGGCAGACTACTATAAAGTTGCCGTCTAAACTCAAATGAGACATCCACAGCAATTACTTAAGATTCTCTGTGAAATAGCACCCAGATTATTTATAATGGTTTGGTAGCTTGTAAATGAAAGAACAAACAAACAAATATATTGGCACTAAAGGCTGCAAATCTAAATCAATGTTGCATGAAAGCTAACAAATGATAAGATGAAATCCAACTATAATGGTTAGTGTTACTTTGCAGGCATTTATGTAGCTATGCAGGAATATGTGTAATTAGTACAATAGAATAAACAAACATAAAAATTAATATTCTATAGAACTTCTGATTTGTAAGTTTTATAAAATACACTTATCCTCCACACCCCCTCCACAGCTCCCAAAATACTTGCCTGATCAGTTTAAAATAAACTTCCACAAATTTTCCGTATTGAGGCAAGCATGTGTTTTTTTTGGTTTTTGTTGTTGTATCTATTTAAGTAACCGGCTGTGTACAACATATTAGTAGACTATGGTTTTGTACATGGTACTCACAACATCGGCGTGTATCAGAGCTCAGTGAAGTGGTCTGGGTGCACTGTCCCTGTCCCCTTAATCCTGCAATTGTAATTATTGCATTTATTGAAAAACTGCAATAATTTACATTGCAGGATTAACTCCACCTCTAGTCGCGGTGTACCAGACAGCCCCTAGAGTCGCTTCTGGGTCCTTAGCGGACATTTGGTCTGCTGACGCTGAACATCCTTACAATTTGCAGGAGGACATCCAATGTCAGCTAAAACCTTATTGGAAAGCACTGATTCAATGCTTTCCCAAGGGGAAGTCCTAATGACATCTCTCCATGCGCATTAGGTGCCCCCGCCGACGTCAAGCAGAGCCTGACCCAGAGGTACACTTATGCTGGAATTAGTTAAGTGACAAGTGTTTTTAACTCCTTATAGGATGTGGGGTGGGGGAGGTGCGAGGAGGGGAGAGGAAGAGGGTACTATAGTGCTAGGAATACAACTTTGTATTGCAAGCACTATAGTTTGTTAAAATTGGTGGTAATGCTCATAGTGTAAGAATTGTTTACGGACTATCTAACCCTAACTGTGAAATCTGATGCGTGTCCTGACCACCATATAGGGGAGTCTAAAGGGGACAACCTAGGAGTGCAAATTGTTAGTAAAAGTAAACAAGTGGTCAATGGAACGAATAAACAAGTTTTAATAAGAGGATATAAATTATGCGAAGAGTTTAAAGGAATACTACAACTTTAGCTTAATGAAGCAGTTTTATTGTATAGATCATGACCCTGCAGTCTCGCTGCTCAATTCTCTGCCCATTAGAAATTCAATCACTTTGGCTATGTAGCCCTAGTCACGCCTCACCTGGTTATAATGACAGTCTACAAGAAAAAGATAATTAAATCGGATCTTACAGCACAGTGTGTTTATTTTACATGTGCCAATAGTTGACCCACATTACTGTGTGAGTGGGGGCTTGTATAGACCCCATCAACTCCTACAAAAACCGGCTTACTAATATTGGCCTTCTGACTTGCTGGTTTCTTACAGAAAAAAAATCAAATCCATAAGCATGATTTTTGAAACACACCTGGCAAAGAACATATAATGTTATTCTTGAAGGGAATCTTTCACTTCTGTTGACAACTGACAGGGAGCCAAAATATAACAGGAAGGATAAATATAGTGATGTTGATTTCTATATCTATTTTTCACAATTACTATTTTTTTTTTTATTTCACAACTCTATTGGCTAAATGTAGGAGGATAAAAAATGCTAGGAAGTGACAGCTGACTTTTTATAATACTGACAACAGACTTCAAATTAAAATCTCCAAGAAAAAAAAATCCAGAAATATAACCCGACTACTATATCGGATAAACCTCCTTAGTAGCCGTTGAGATTTAGGTACTTATATGATCTTAAAAACGAACAATAAACCTCAAATGGGTCAGTGTAAACACCTTCCCACTATTGGTAAGAGTGTAGCGCTAATAGGTGTATATTCACAGTGCTCAAGAATACAAATGTACACTTACCACTCAGGGTAGTATCAAAAAAGTAGACATATAAAGGGAAAAAACACAGAAAACATACATAGGGTAATAACGTAGAGCCTGTATTGAAGTGAATTTAGATATATACAGATAAACTCACATTTATTAGAGCCTTTTATGTGGGTATAGGCTCTAAACACTTAAGTATCCGTGCCTTTAAGGTAGGCAGCGAGACTGTATTGATTCTGCTTGCTTTATTTCCTTCCTTCCCTCCTTTCAATCAAGGTGAAGACTCCAAGAGAAGAGAGAAACAAAACAGACTTCTGGGTGCAGATTGTTTAACTCTTAGCATGCAGTACAATATCTCTTTAAGGTGAAAAGAAAAAATGCTCACCTTTTTAAGAGCCTTTTAGTAACTGGCTCTAAGTATAAATGGCATATGTGTCTAATATAAAGGGTGACACTATCCTTAACCGGATCCAGAAATTCAAGATAGAGGTGAGTATATTCAAACACAGAATTTATTATATAAAATAAAATCAAAGATAATTAAAATATCAAATAATGATAAAGTATAGATAAATACAATATGTGCCGAAGTCCTTCCTCTCCTGTTCTACCAAGACGCGTTTCGCCTACTCCATTGGCTTTCTCAATTGGTATTTTTTTTTTCTTTTCACCTTAAAGAGATATTGTACTGCATGCTAAGAGTTAAACAATCTGCACCCAGAAGTCTGTTTTGTTTCTCTCTTCTCTTGGAGTCTTCACCTTGATTGAAAGGAGGGAAGGAAGGAAATAAAGCAAGCAGAATCAATACAGTCTCGCTGCCTACCTTAAAGGCACGGATACTTAAGTGTTTAGAGCCTATACCCACATAAAAGGCTCTAATAAATGTGAGTTTATCTGTATATATCTAAATTCACTTCAATACAGGCTCTACGTTATTACCCTATGTATGTTTTCTGTGTTTTTTCCCTTTATATGTCTACTTTTTTGATACTACCCTGAGTGGTAAGTGTACATTTGTATTCTTGAGCACTGTGAATATACACCTATTAGCGCTACACTCTTACCAATAGTGGGAAGGTGTTTACACTGACCCATTTGAGGTTTATTGTTCGTTTTTTGCATGTGGAGAGTGGTTTTTGGAGTACCCTCATGAGTGTTTTATAGCAGCTTTTTGAAATTGTTCTATATTATATCTATAAGCGCCACCTATTTCCACACTTTTCTCTGTATTGTTTCCACTTATATGATCTTAAACCAATAATTTGGCTGTTGAATCTCCTGATAATAAAACAGGCTGGACATTAAATGCCAAGTCATAACTTAGGTGGTAGCATATGCATCAACACCATAAAATTCATGTCTACACGCTCAGAATTCTAAATTTGTGATCTGTTAAAGCAAGCATGTCAAGCTCAAAGGCTACCACGGGCCAAATAAACCAGGTTTAAGTTTGTGGGACGCAAAAAAAAGGCCAACACAAACTAAAATTACTTGTATTATTCTCATGCAAACAATATGTAATACTGGATACATATAATAATTTACTCAAACGTTTCACTTCAAGTTACTTACTATGCCCTCCCAATCTAATGCACAGCCTCCCGCAGCCCCACCCCCCACTCTAATACACTGCCCTCCCTCTCCTTCTCCCCCAATTTCACACTGTCCCCCTCGCACCACTATAATACACTGCCCTCCACCTCCTCCCCCAATTTAATACACAAGCCCCTTTCCCCCCTACCTTAAGCTGTCTTCCAGTCCTGCATGATATCCTCTGCTCAAGCAGGCCACACACTCCTCTAGCACTGTGGGCAGCAGGAAAGGGGGAGTGACTGGCCTGCTCTGCACACAGCCTGCCACTCTGCGCACTGTTGAGCTGCAGCACAGTCGCTGGATATCACTTCATAAGATGGAGCATGTGATTATCCACGGCAGGGTCACAGGACAAAGCAGCCCCAGGGCAGGCTGCCTACCGGACAATTTCCGGACAATTTCCCAGTATCCCGGGAGTCTTGCCCTGTGCCGCAAAGATACCCATTGTGGGCCGCATGTTTGACATGCTTGTGTTAAAGGAACTAAACTGGTTAGATCTCCAATCTAGACAACTTCACAATTCACTCTTCTTTTGCTATCCTTATCACTTCAATGGTAAATGTCAACGCTAACTGTTCATCGTGCTGTATGTTAATTTTGTGGTGGTTTCTTTTCCCCTCATCCTTTGTTTTCAATTCCATGCTGCAGGCTGCCTTTACGCTCCATGCACATATATAATATCTTTAAAGGGACACTATAGTCACCTGAACAACTTTAGCTTAATGAAGCAGTTTTGGTGTATAGAACATGCCCCTGCAGCCTCACTGCTCAATCCTCTGCCATTTAGGAGTTAAATCCCTTCGTTTATGAACCCTAGTAACACCTCCCTGCATGTGACTTGCAGAGCCTTCCATAAACACTTCCTGTAAAGAGAGCCCTATTTAGGCTTTCTTTATTGCAAGTTCTGTTTAATTAAGATTTTCTTATCCCCTGCTATGTTAATAGCTTGCAAGACCCTTCAAGAGCCTCCTGTGTGTGATTAAAGTTCAATTTAGAGATTGAGATACAATTATTTAAGGTAAATTACATCTGTTTGAAAGTGAACCTAGTTTTTTTTTTCATGCAGGCTCTGTCAATCATAGCCAGGGAAGGTGTGGCTAGGGCTGCATAAACAGAAACAAAGTGGTTTAACTCCTAAATGGCAGTGAAATTGCAGGGGAATGTCCTATACACTAAAACTGCTTTATTTAGCTAATGTAATTTAGGTGACTATAGTGTTCCTTTAAGGAACCATCAGAAATTACATTACGAACCTCCTGAAAACATTTGCCTTTTTGTATCAAATTACAGGAAGCGTTTTGAATGGCCACTCCTTGAAACACCTTATCTAGAAGAGATATATACACACAGGTTGTCAAAAGGTAAAAAACATTCCAATATGTTTGAGAATGTTGTAGATATAATATTCGATGGACGCATATAGTGTTTGCATACCAACTGGATTATATCTTGAATATGTTAGAGTTTAAAAACAAAGAATATCATAGTGCAGTCATTCATGACTGAAAATTAATAAAAGCATTAAATACCCACATGTAAACAAAGTTTTGCATAACATATACTGCACTTTAGGAGTATTAAAGCATTCTTTTGGCCCCCGGGCTGAAGCTGGAACCATTTGTCACTTCTATACAGATGAGAATGCAGATTGTACAACCACATTCAGAAGAACAAGTTAGGTCTCTCAGTTCCCAATATGAGTCAGTATGGAAGCAGTATCCTTGTTTCTTTCCTCAAACCATTTTCATCTTATGACTTCAGGGAGAGAGATCTCCACACCACACCACTGGCCTTAAATAGTCTTCTAATTATACTTAAACACATGTTGATTGGAACAAGCAAAGTTTCCAGGATTTGTTTGCGACAAAGATTGCACAATGTCTGCACAATCCTTAGTCGTTCTTATTGATGACATGGCTTGTACGTTAAAAATGCCACTGCAATTTCTTTTGTGCTCTTTTCATGGATTTTACGGGAACATGTTGCAAAGTGCTTAGAGTAGACTATGGATGCATGCACTTTTCTGCCGACAAAAGGCACAGAAATATTTCAAAGGTAAATGCAATCGATATCTTACAACTGTGTGGTTGCTTTCTAGATTAGCCATTTCTTATACCACTGTGACCAATTTTTCATAATGTTAAATGCAACCCTAAACAAGTGGTCATCGGCAGTCCTGAATATATAAACCAATTTACTGAAAAGTATAAGATATTGAGATGGGGAACACTTCTCTTCAAAGTTTTAATGTAACTTGTGGGATGAAATCTGTTTTTCCCCACTGGAGGGCAGCAAAGTATCCATCTGTATCAAGACATGTACTGAAAATAATTCTGCTTTAGAATGGGTGACATACAGGTACTTATAGCAGCCTTACTATTTCAGTAGATTAATTGAAGGCTGCCATACTTATAGTGCCAAAACTTTATGCAGTGCCTGTGCCCCAAACAGCATTCTTATGTTTGCTCTCAGGACTCAGAGCTACCACGTTTTACAGCCAAAGCCTTATGCAGAGGTAACATCTACCTCTCTTTCCTATAGTATTACTGTTAGACGGAAAACTATTGTACCTTCCATGTTGAACTCTTGTTAAATGTTTTTTTTGTTGCTGTCCGTTATTGCATTTAGTCTTCTTAATCTATGTTCACCATATATGACTTCCGCTTATCTACTCTCTCTCATTCCCTCGTATATTGAAATCGCAAATGTTTTCTCATCGGCTTTTTTTCCGTTTTTTTTTTGTTCACCTTTAATATCTGCATGCCTCTCCACCCATGACTGGTGTTTTATCTAACCCCAGACTACCACACAGTCAGCACACTACCTGCAGCCAAGCTCCCGTTCAGCTGAATGCTGCTGGAGGAAAGCTTGCATGTTGTCAGACTTTCTCCATTATAAATTCATCCTGCGTTCATACAACGCAGCCCTGACCCTTGCTAAACAATCATACTTGTCCACTCTCATTTAGTTCATACTTCCACAATCCGAGGCGTTTTTGATACGTTCAACTCTCTTCTTCACCCTGGTGATTCAACTCCCTAAACTAACCTTTCAGGCAATAGCCTTGCATGCTGCTTTATTGACAAGATTGAACAGGTAAGGAAAGAATTCTCCCCCTTTACTCTGCTCTCTCAACTGCACTTAGAGCGTGCCTTTCCTACCCTTCAGGCTGTCTACTGACCAGAAGATATCTGCGCTTCTCCTTTTCGTCTCTCTTCCTAAGTCTCCTTGACCTCTCTGCTACTTTTGGTATTGTTGATCATGTCCACGTCCAACGTGCAAGTATGTCTTCTTTATAAAAATATATACTATATATACTTTCATGATGGTAACATTAACTGGGGGGTGCAAAAATATGTCAAACTGAAGATATACCTATATATCAAGTTGAAAAACAGACATGTACAAGTTCTGATTGTTGCCTTTTGGCCCCCAAACAACCCAGCAACCCTATACATGGGGGGTATCCCTGTACTCGGGAGATGTTGCTGAACATATTGGGTTGTTGTTTGGCAGTGACACATAACAGGATCTGTTAATTTATGCCTAAAGTACAATGTGTGTGACAAAGAAACAAAAAAGATTACTACCCAAAAGTTTGACAAAGGCTGGTGGTAGAATTCAGTGCATGAAAAGTGTTAAAATACCACCATTTAAAATACCCTGGGTTGTCTACTTTTCAAAAATATATGGTTTGATGGGGGTAAAATACATTGGCTCAAATGGGACATGGGCGCAGGTTGATTTACATGTCAAAATTCCAAGTTGGGAAACTGATAAGCGCACTTGCCAAACGTGGCCTTTTAGCCCCCAAAGAACCCGACCGGCCTATGCATGGGTGGTATCACTGTACTCAAGAGATCTTGCTGAACACACATTGGGGTGTTGTTTGGCAGTGACACATAACCGGATCTGTTAATTCATGCCTAAAGTACAATGTGTGTGGAAAAAAACAGAAAAAAATTTACTACCTCAATGTTTGACAAAGCCTGGTGGTAGAATTAGTGCATGGAAAGTGTTAAAATACCACCATGTGAAATACCCTATGTTGTCTACTTTTCAAAAATATATGGTTTGATGGCGGATAAAATACATTGGCCGGCTTAAAAAATGTCCCAAATAGGACAACAACCCGACGCGCCTATACGTGGGGGAATCCGTGTACTCGGGAGATGTTGCTGAACACATATTGGGGTGTTGTTTGGCAGTGACACCTAACAGAATCTGTGAATTTATACCTGAATTGCAATGTATGTGAAAAAAATAAAAGTTTGGCAAAGGTTTGTGATAAAATGGCTGCATAGAAAGTATCAAAATATTCTTAGATGATTACCATGGGTTATGTAGTTTAAGAAAAATATATACATGTGTGGTGTTTTTTTGAGATTTATGACATAACAGTGTTACAATGTCACTATTGATACATTTGAAAAATGTACATTTTGAAACAGCAATTTCCTATTTGTACTTATAGCCCTATAACTTGCAAATAAAAGCAAAAAAACATATTTGTCGCTGAAACCTCAGTGTGGGGCTGGACCGTGATGGGCCCACTGACCCAACCCATGGGCAACCTAGTTCTCCTTTGAAACAGCCTTCTGTCCCCTAGGTAATTCCCCAGGTACAAAATGATGGTGGAGGGATAGTCTTAATTTGGGTCTCTACAGGTTACCTTTCACACACCTCGTTTACACATAGGTGCCCTCGTCCACAGACCATCATTCCTTGCTATTTAACTGCCCTTGCTCCCCCAGGAAAAAGGCTGCTCTAGCTTTCATAAAGTAAGTATTAAAGAAAAAAAAATTGTAGAACTTTAAAACCAAATTATAAAAAGCAGCTTGTGTCAAACGGTCTGTGTATCCAGGTCCCCAACGCAACCCATCTGCCAGGCCGGGTGGTTTATGGAGGGTCTTGGCTCTTATCCTGATCAGCTCGTTTCAGACTGGGGGTGGTTTTGGGTGGATCTGCATTCCCCTCGTGGAGGTGGCAATGGTAGGGTGCGCAAGAGACCCCACAGGTCCTCACCAGCCGACAGTGTTAACACAGAGTCTCCATGGGGCACCACCAAAGTACCTGCTGGCCCCCACTGAGACCGGCTACCCTGTTCTTTCAGCTTCTTTGTGGTTGGTAGGAATCTTTGTCGCTCTATCAGGACGGAGAACAGCAAATCATCAAAAATTCTTGCACCGTCCCTGGCCATATCCAGCCTAATCCACCTTTAAAGGACCACTCGAGGCACCCAGACCACTTCAGCTTAATGAAGTGGTCTAGGTGCCTGGTCCTTCTAGGGTTAACCCATTTTTTCATAAACATAGCAGTTTCAGAGAAACTGCTATGTTTATGAATGGGTTAAGCCTTCCCCTATTTCCTCTAGCGGCTGTCTCATTGACAGCCGCTAGAGGCACTTGCTTGCTTCTCACTGTGATTTTCAGCTCTTGCCGCACGTGCGCATTCAGCCGACGGGGAGGAGAGGAGGAGGATCGGAGGAGGAGAGCTCCCTGCCCAGCGCTGGAAAAAGGTAAGTTTTAACCCCTTTCCCCCTTCCAGAGCCGGGCGGGAGGGGGTCCCTGAGGATGGGGGCACCCTCAGGGCACTATAGTGCCAGGAAAACGAGTGTTTTCCTGGCACTATAGTGGTCTTTTAAAAATAGCCTGTTCATGCTCTTGTCATTTCTGTCATTGATTAATGTAGTTCTCTTCTAATTGGTCTTCCCAGAAGCTGTACTGCCTCTTTAAAGTTTGAATGAATTCTGTCGGCAGGCTGATTTTACTCTCCTTGCCCATCTGTAAATCCTTACATTGGATTCCCGTACCCTATAGGAGTCATTTGTACTGATTACTAATTTGTAGGTAAGCCCTTGCTTGGTCTCTCCGCTCTATTATTGACCTTCCCCTTGTCTGCTGCTTTCACCCTTACTGCTAATTTACACTTGCAGGAATTCTCGTGGGCAGTTCTTTTCCTTTTGGAACAGCCTACCTACCCCCATCAGAGTCTCCCATAGCCTTTAATCAATTAAGAAGCCCCTCAAAGCTCGTCTCTTCAGAAAAGCTGATTGCCTACCAACTTCTATTTCACAAATCTGTCTC